TAACTTGGGTACAACTCGTCAATTATTTGCAAATGACCATCACGGGCCTGGATAATAATGTCTCTTATAGAACCAGTATCAATATCACCAACGATAAGTGCAGCTACTTCATATACTGTTGGTCTATTATATACGCGTTCGTCTTCGGGTTATTAAGAAATAAGTTTCAACTTTAAATCTAAGATAGAGTTTGTCTCCAAAACATCCCTTGCCATTCTAAACGCTTTAGCATGCACATTACACTCGTCCAACATAAGCTTCAAGTTAGTTACAATTTATTTTTCAATGTTATTATTGTCTCTGCAAATTATAGTATTAAAGTATGTCAAATACAGTTAATTATTTTCAACGAATGTAACATTAAAATGTATAATATGACGTACCTGAAACAATCAATCCCGTTATCAACCTCATGTTCGGTGTCAAATATATAAAGTTGTGCGTATTGGGGAGGGCAACCAACTTCAGGAAGCAAAGTCCCAATTTGATGACAAGTTTGCCCATGAAACCGCAATGTAGGTGGACCTCTCCCATTAAAATGTATGGTATCAAACTTCATTATAGGAGAAGTGAACTAAAACATTGCATTGTATGTTCTAATGTTAGTTTGGTAATTCCTACTTGATGGCATTGTATCGTCATAAAGAAGTGTTTGCAGTAACTGAGGTGGTTGTTCAATGAATGGGAGAAAATTTTTTCCACCTCTACAACATAATTTGAACTTAGGAACTATAGTATGTCTTGATTTAAATTTACGCTCTTGGTACTGTAACACCCAATTTCTACTCGGCGGATAATGATAAAATCAGAGTTCAACATAAATAGGATGCTACATTTTCAACTTTAAAATCAAACTTCATTTAATCGCATATAAAACAGATACATAACACTTAACTCGGATGAACCGATAACAAATTGATTTATTATTTAACATCAAACAACTTTATATTGATAAGCAGCGGAATCTACATACTCAACTTCAATTCACTTAACATCTTTATTCAACTAAAACAACTTCAAGAAAACAGTTACTTCATGTAAACAACTTAAAAATTCAGCAACAAAAATAAATATCAATAACCAAACATCAAGAGTTCATCCCCCGAGTACTACGTATCAGAGCGACGACACCGACTCGAACTGACGAAGGTACGCATATTCTTCTTGATTACCTGCACGTTACCAACATGGGGCATCATTCAAACAGTAAGGGTGAGACTCTCAAATCTTATAAGTGAGTGCACGATAAATCATATATTAGAATTCAGGAATATAAAACCATCACATTGCAACATCAACATTGTCATGCCCTTCACAATACATCTTTTCACAAACCTCACTTGTTTGAATCACAACTTAAATCATCACAATTCACATCATTATTAATTATGCAAGACCCGATGAGACACAACTGTGCAAATGCATGTGGTACCAACAGGGCTTCAGCCCCCATCGTCAATTGCCAATTATTAGAGGCATTCAAACAAGGCATCAACCTTCATTGCTATTTTGCCAATCTAGGCCATAACAGTATGAAAATATATGTGACTCAATGAATGCACCATCACATACTCACAACAATTATCATTCATCGTAAGACATAAGCCCACATCGCCATTATTACCAGTAAATAAAGGTAATTCATCATCATCTAAAATTCTCTGCAACTTCGCATTATCAACAAAATTCACAGCAACAATCATAACAACACAACAACAGCAATATAACAACAAATCAATAACAATGATTAAACAACAACTTAACAACAATTCAACAACAATTCAACAATAGGTCAACAACCATTCAACATTGGCCATAGGCCCACAACATAATATTGCCCATAAATAGAGGCAATTCAACCAAATTCATCATCACCTGGAATTTCATAATTAACCACAACAATTATTCCATATAATTATTCGGATAGATCGACCAAATCCTCCAAATTAATTAATTCTCCACTGTTATTTTATTACTGATAACCTCCTGTTACTAATTCACATCTTAGTCTCTACCTTACAACAACTTATACAATCTCCTGTCACAACCGTAATATTTTACAAATATTCCGTGTAATTATTCGGATAAACCAACTACATCCGGCTAAATAATCCTCTGCCAAAATTACTAGCATTTCTACTCGGTATTATTATTACTAAACCCACACTGCTACTATTAGTTCATACTATTCCTATTACTTCATCACTCTGCTAATGTACATCAGTTTACCAAAACAATTACGGCAACTATACTAACTATTTCCAACTCTGTCTTATTGCTAAGGTCGTTAAATTATGTTGAAACTACTAAATTAAGATTACTGACATAAAGGCTACTTCTATTAATATCTTTCTGCTATAGCATACTACTGATAAGAATAATTTAATTTAATTCTCTAACTTAATGCTTTTGTATTAATAAAATTATATGCTAAAATATGTAGGCTTTATGCGAGATACTGATAATATATTGCTAAGCTACAGGAAATTAAGTGTCTGCCAGCCCAATAGCCAGTTCCGAACGACACTCTCCTTACACAACATCCAGTGTCGAACGACACTCCCCTCTTCTCCCCAATGATGCCGATCGGCAGCCTCTACCAACAACAACACCTTGTCGATCATCAATGCCTTCCTTCCATCCAGCCTACCAATCGTTAATGCTATAATTTTCTGCAAATTCTTGTTACTTCTCCAATTTCATTCGATTCACAGGCTAACCAACGTATAATACAGGAACATGAAATTTCACCAATAATTAACACTAATCAATTCCTAACATCAATTGCCACAAACAAACACAAACAGTAATAAAATTACACCCTAAATCCCCACATACAATTCCTCATAAGCCCCATTATAGGATAAGAAAATCCACTCTTACCTTAGATTGGAGATCGCTCTATAATTCCGATTGCAACCCGCTGTTGCCATAGCTCCAAACCTTCATTCTTCTTCTTTTCTCCATGTACTGCATTCTTTTCTTTCCTCTTTCTCTAAAACCCTTATTCTTCCTTTTCTCATAAAAACCTAATTCCTTATAATTTCTATTATTCTTAATAATTTCATTGGGCATAATCTTAACACCCTCACTTTTACTACCACCGACCAATAATTAAGTCCATATAATAAATCTAGTATTATTCCAATACTATTTCTACAACTTAATCAACCAAATAATCAACTAACAACATGACAACTTAAATCAACATTTCAACAATTCCAACAATTAACCCGCAATTAATTTAATTAAATAATTAATTAAATTAACGGGCATTACAGGTACCACATGCAAGCGTGACAAAATTCGCATTCCTAACATGGGTCTCCAATATCCGAATAATATGTATAACCAAATAATATAGTGTTTAATACATATATATAGTCTCCCATATGTCAATCATAAGTATTTGAATCACATGTTAAATTTACTAATCGCATAATCATATCAATAAGAAGCATATAAAGTTATATCTATATATCTACCTTGAAGGTGTGAATCCATAACATCATCAGCTTCCAAGGAATCGTAAGAACCATAACTATCTGCCAAAGAGTGTCCATCATCTGAATTTACATCTTCTTCGTCGAAAAAGTGAGTGTCATTTAGAATTGTGCTATGTGTTTGAACATCAGTTGGAGACGTGGCAACTGGACTAACAAGATTAAAATATGGGGTACTTCCATCATGAATCTTGGAAGGATATAGTGGAACATTGTTTGTTTGGTTTGGTACTGTGTTTGTGAAACAGTTGAATAAATTAATTCTATCATGGACATGAAACAATTTACGTCTGTGTATTTTCCTCTCTATGTTATGATGTTCAGAGGGGTCAATGTTAATTTAATTTGAAACATTACGAAGGGGTGTTCCTCTAGACCACGAATCTTGATTGATATTGATGCATAATGAAGAGTCTGGTTTGCACATGTTGTTTTCCTTGTTGCTGCGTGAATATGAAGATTCTCCCTGCAAAACCAATCGCTTCCTCTTTTTCCTGCCAACTGTAGAAGAAGGATCAATGTGATTCTCACCATCCATATTTCAATTATCAAGCACCTTCATGATTCATATGACCAGACAAAACGATTTCAAAGGTAAGTCTCGTTGGATCGGGTATTGATTGAGTGTGACATTGTTGCCGATGTAATGGTGATATTGTGTGATCTAATACAGGGATAAGCAAGAATATACAATTTACAAAGTAATGAACAAAAACACTATTAAAATTGAATGGAAATTCTACAGCTATCAATATTTCAATAGAGGCATTGGTAAAGAGCAAATGTATTTGATGTTTAAACAATGGATCCATTTTCAGATAGGGATTTTCCACCATTTTTAAGTTTCAAAATAGAAACAAAAAAAATGCAAATATGATGTCAAGGTCGATCTTACAAATGTTCGAATTCCAATAGAATTTAAGGATGCCAACAATGGAAAGTCCCCTAAAAGATTCCAAAACTCTTGACAGAGGAATGGTTTCATTAAAATATAATACGTGACTTTTTTTATTAGGGTTGATATTCAATTGATAGTGAAATTTTTATTTTATATTGGCAAAATTACATTAAATGTCTCAAAAATAATTGGGCCATAGTTGAACATGTCTTTCAAGTACATTGAAACATGGTATGTATTTCGTTCTAAACATAAAAGAAAAGGAAATCAATATGGATATGACATCAACAATAACATGTACAAAATAATTAAGTTTTACTAATAAGCAGTGAGACACAACAATATTACATGACGACTCAATGTGATAGTTACATACTTGTAAACAAAGGACTAAGTAATATTCCCAAAACAATAAAACTTAACCACCATAAGTTCAACAATAACCAACCATTACATTTGAATTTAGAAACTAAAACAAGAAAAAAAATGAACACACTGAACACACTAAATAACACTAAAATGTATTTCTCGATCTTAATCATCTTGTTAAACTTGTTTGAGGATAGTTCACCATCAACAAGCTTGACTAAGTTTGTTGATTAACTCGAGCAATCTAGAGTCGATCTCTTTGCTGTTGGCATGGCCGGATCCGGGTTGAGTTTGGATGTTATCTCAAATTCCTGCTAAATTATAATTTTTCACATCAGTTTCATGGAAACAAAATATTATCAAATTGCAGTAGGATAACCAATGTTAATAACATACAATCATCACTCCAAATTCATCAACAACATTGGCCTCGCCAGCACTTTCTTTAATTTATAAACAATTTCAGTAACACATGATTGGGAGATGATAATATAAGAAAATGAAATCCCATCATGAGTTAGGTATATGAAGCCACACCTGGATCAATGGTGTGGGTGGGGGATTAGAAACAAATATGATATCATCTCCGCAAGTTTCCTTTAGTTGGATGATTACAGATTTGTCCTTAAAAACAGAAACTATTGAGCAATTATCCAAAAGTGACTGCCATTTGACTTTAAAAGCTATCTCTTTGCCCAATAATTTGTCAAGTGCTAATGGAAACTCAAGTGGATCCGTTATGCCACTCTGAATACGTCAAGAAAAGGGGAAAAGTTAGTATCCCAAAAAAGTGTGATGTGCAAAATGTATCATGTGTTATGTATACAAATTAATTTAACCTCAATCATTATGATGCGGTCTGAGCAGAAGAAAGTCCTAATAGTTATTCACTTTCTCGATCCCACAAGACAAATTTAGACTTAATCCCACCATAAACAACTTCTACTTCGATCTTATACCTGGTTAAAAGACAGTATGTAAACAACCCAATATAACTAATATAAACATAGGACGTATGGAAAATGTAAAGAAAAAGAATTTAGGTAACACATTACCTAAAAATTTCACATTCAGTCAAATGTTCAGCATCACATTTAAAAGGAGACAGGTCTCCCCTGGCAACTTTAGGGCACTGATGGCATGCTTGATATTACCAACTGTACTTGGATGCAATCAGCTTGCCAATGTTGGCAACTGTAATACATAAAGTATCATAAAATAAATAATGTTAGACAGTTATATGACAAATATTTGAATAACAACAATAGATCATAATGTAAGCAAATTAAGCATACAATCTTGAGCTGCTTGATTTCAGACAAAGGAAGCACAACAACTTTAGACATGAATTTTTGGTAAGGTGTTAACTAAGAGCTTGAAGAGCTTTGTGATCACACTTGAGATTGAGAACTAATTTGGGTGGTCCGAATAACCAAGGCGTCTTTTGGAATGCTAAAAAAACGTAACACATATGATTGATGAGACAATGTAGTTGCAAATAATCACATAGAGGGCAATTAAACAAAAAGATGGATGAAAATCTCACATATTCATGAAGTCTTTTATTGCTTTCAAATCATCGTTTATATACAACTTAGTAACATTATAGGTGTTTGAAACAGACAATGGAAAATTTTGTCCTACATAATGCAATAAGTTATATAAGTCATCAACAATCAAACATAATAAGTAAAAGTATAGAATAATATTAGGAAAATTTTGTGGAGACCTTCTTCTTTGACTTTTGCGTATTGCAGGAAAACAACAGTTGAAAAGGAGGCATCCGTTTTGCTTTGATTGTATTTGATAAACTGTGCAACATAAGATTCCCATAGAGTATAGTTGATTAAGTTATTGTTGCGAAGTTAGAAACATGGTTTAGTAAATATCCAAGAGTGCATGAGTGTAAATATGTTAATACACAGTAATCATACCCCAAGTCTTTCAAGACAATGTTGACCTGCTGTTTTTTGCCACCAGTCTGCATTTGGGTGTACCCAATTTCGTCCACCATTCCAATTAAGCCAGCAAGAAATTATAATTGCAATTAGATATACTGAAGAAACTCAACACAAATATTCGAAACATGAGAAACGAAATGGATTACCTATCAATCCATCCCTCTTCCATTTTTCTGAAATAATGTCACAGAACGGAGTCACTTCGACAACTTTGTCAAGGATTAAATGTTTGTTTCTATCGCCAACAGTAGTTCCGTCGAAAAACTTCAAAAGAAACTTGTGTTGAAAAGGTTTGAAGACAACATCTTTGGGTTGAACCTGAAAGTTATCATTGATGATGAAAGAATGGAAAGAAAACAGACAAGTGAGAGAGAGAAATAGAGGAAGAATAAAAAATAGAACGTATCTTGTGTAGATAAAAATATTTCAAAATTAAAGAATGCTGTTAGGAAGTCACGTGACGGCATATGAGAAAAGTAGTTTTTGATTTTCTTATATGATTATGATAGATCGTTCAAATATAATTTTTGTTGTTATAATATTTCAAAAATAAAAAATATATTAATAATAAATATTATTTTATCAATTTGAACATTTTTTAAATAAAATAATATAAATTTTTGTCTATATTAAATTTTTTTTTTGAAACCCTCTATTTCTCTATTTCCCAAACTCTAGCAACCAAAAACGTGAACGAAACGAAACAAAACCAATAAAATAAGGAGAACTTACCTACCATTTATTCTCTCTAACCCCAAAATCTTCTCTCTCTATTTGGTCTCATCTTTATCTAAACGACAATTTCATTTTCACACCAACAATCAGGTTTGACAATTTGTTATATATAAACCTTTAAATTATATGACATAGACCTCTGATCGCATGATTTTGATGTAAGTCTAGATTTTGAATATATGGCATCCACGATTTATGACAAGTTTTTCAGATTTTCAAATTTCAAGAAAATTTAGTTTTGACGAAGAATATCAACACATACACATATGAAACACTATATTGTCACTTAAATACCACACAAGACTTAAAAATTACGCATACCTATTTTTGTAATAAAATCACAATTTTTGTTCATCGTTACAACAAAATCTATGGCTTGAAAGTGTATTTAAAAAAAAAATCAAACATTTAATATCAATCAAAACATTTTGTATAATATTTTATTAGCTAAACCCTTAAATTTAGTTGAAAAAAAATATCCTCATCCAATTAAACAAAAATATTCATTGCCATGTTTTCTTTTAAATTATTTTATTTTAAAATAAATTAAATTCTTATTTTTTCTATTAACTTCCTTTTCTTTGATTTCTTTTCTGAAGTATACACTCGATTGAAAAGAAAAAAAAAAGATTAATATTATACTGAATGATATTTCTAGATTGTATCATAACTAAAAGGCAAAAAAAATTTACTGTATTTTAATATCAAAATTTATGATCGTACCTGATCAGATTTGGACCGTCACGACTGGCTCGGGCAGACTTTGAGTGAGATGGGGGATACCTGCAAGACACTTCGATGTTAAAATGAGAGACGGAATGAGCAGGCAAAAAGTGTATTGAATACCTGACCCTCTAGGAACAGAGGGTATTTATAGCCCCCAACGCTGGGCCAAGGTCCCCTCATTGGGCTGATCAGAACTGACCCAATAAAGGGACTGCCAGGTTTTACGTGCGTAGTGGGGACCCGCACGTGGTCCCCTTTCTGGTGGTGCTCTGCGAAGAATAAGGAGGGACGAAGACGCGGTCTTTCCGAAGCTTAGAGGACTCGATAACGGTCAGAGTGGACGAAGTCTGCCCTACGGGGAGTGTGCTCGAGCAGGACTCGAGCTGGAGTTCCCTTGGTCGGGGACGCTGTGTGTCGCGTGGAATGGCAGGCATAGTGGCTACAGTCTGTGGTCGGGCACGTCGGCGGTGGTCCGCTAGTGAGCATTCCCTGAGGAGTCTGCTTGGATTGGGCCTTTATCTGCGCTTTGGGCCAGGGTGGGCCTAGCCCTCCAAGTCGTTGCTCCTGGGGTAGGAGTTATGACTTGACTTCAGCTCGCCTTTATCACGGGGACCTGATGCGTGGACCGGGATTTTGCTTTTTCGATGTGTGCTCGAGGAGTTTCTCACGGGCTGCATTCGTCGGATACGTAGCGCAATCCTCGTTGACGCGTGCTCAGGGAATTTCTCACGGGCTGCGTTTGTCGGATACGTAGCGTAATCCTCGTTGACGCGTGCTCGGGGAATTCCCCGCGGGTTGTGTTTGTTGGATACACGAGGTAGTCCTTGGGAACCGTAACGCCACCCTAGTGACAATAGGGTCATCATTGCCTAGGGGAATAGATGTCGAGGACGGGGAAGTTCGCGGCCCCCCGGGGCGACGTTTCGTATTCCACGTCATCCCTATAAATAGGATCCTTGGGCCCATAATTTGTTTTTCTTCTTTGCGCTTCTCCTTCTTCCTCTACTTCCGCCGTCGTCGTCTCCTGCAACACCGTGAGATCACCGCACCGTCCTTCATTGATTACTTCCATCGCTGCCGTACGTTCCTCTTTTCTTCCAAGTAAGTGTTCATTCCCCCTGTTTTTCTCCGTTGTAGGTAGTTTTGACGTTATTTGGACGTTAGAAACCCACATCTGGGAGTAGTGCCTGGTAGATTCATGATTGTGCACGGTAGATTCATGATTGTGCCCGGTAAACTCATAGTTTTAGGTACGTGACTCGCGATGCTTCCCGTGACCTTCATAGTTTTAGGCATATGATCTATGATACTTCCCGTGACAGTCGTAGTTTTAGGCATATGATCTATGATACTGCCCGTGACATTCGTAGTTTTGGTCGGCGAACCCATGAGCTAGCCGGGATGTTGACCCCTTAGGAAGTATGTAGGATAGCCCGTCGTAGTATCTTAGTGTCGGGCAGGCGAAGTCAGGACCTTGCTCGAGTCATCCATGTTTATTTCTCGGGGTGTTCATGTTATTCCCTTGTTGTTCCCGACGCCTGGTCGAGCTGGGGTGTCCGTGTTCAGCTTGTCGTGTACTATTTCCCGTCTTTGTGGCGAGCACGCGGATTCGCTCTCGAATTTCACCGGTTTCCTGTGCTTTGTAGGTAAATGGCCGACGAACCATAATCTTCGAGGCAAAATGAAGTCGAGGACCAAAGTACCGAAGAGAATGTGACTTTAGTTGATACCATCGATGACCCCTCGTTGGACTGGGTGGGCGCCGAGCCCCGGGGGATTGCCTCGGTATACTGTCGGCGTAGTCGGCGAGCATATACTATCGTCGAGCATGGCGGTAGTCAGCCGGGTTTTCAGAAGAATTTTGTTGTGATGAGGTCGTCCACCGATACGCGAATTTTTTCGGAGTTTACCGAGTATGGGTTTCCTATGTACGAGATCGTGTTCAGGGATCTCGGTCTTAAGCTCCCCTTCAGTGATTTTCAAGCCGGGGTGTTCTGCCATCTGAATTTGGCCCCTTCGCAGCTTCACCCTAATTTGATCGCCTTCCTTCTGGTGTTCGAGCTGACATGCCATTTCTTGAGAATCGGGGCGACGATTCCCCTTTTCTTCAGGGTTTTTCATCTGCAGCGTCAGTCTCGAGGAGGCAGGCATAGTTGGGTATCCCTGAAATAGTCAAAGAGGCTGTTCAGGATGTATATGGATTCGGTCCGGGGCTTCAAGGATAAGTGGTACGTTGTGCAACCGGTCACCCAGACTGCCTTGGATTCCTTGTACGAACCGGAAACCGCGGTAGTTGACGAGGACGGGGAGCCCCTCATGGACGCTGAGGGTCGTCCGGCAATAAGGTGCATATCCAAGTTCCCGATACATTGGTGCTCGGCCCATTACGACCATGGCACCGGATACTATCATACGCCTGTGGGAACCATGAGCGCCGAGGACGAAGAAGCCTATGGTATCCTTTGCAAGTATGTCGACAACTTCTTCCCTTCCCGGTGGGTCACGAGGGAGGGGGGAGATATTCTTGACAAGGAAGAGTACCCGACATTCGAGGCTCGTCCCATCGACACCAAGGCGCTCGTTGAGTGCCGATCTTACGGACAGGTCGTAGATCTACTATGTTTCTTGCTTTTGCTTTTATTATTGTTTTATTCCATTTTCGTTGTTTTTGCTTGCTTGCAACTAACCCGAGTTTTGCTCTTCTTTGCAGGCGACATGGCTGAACGACGGGAGAGGCTGTTGAAACTGACTCAGGACAAGAAAGTAAACAAAAGGCTGGTGCGAGCTCCACAAGCCACGAGGATGGGCCCGCCGGCCAGTTCGGGCGATGCCTCTAGTGGGTCCCTGGGCTCCCCTGACGTTGAACAGCCTACCGAGCTGATTACGAGAAAGAGAAGTCGGGCTGATAACAGGTCGGAGGTTGGCGACGAGTCCGTAGCTGCGAGGGCCTTCGGCTTACCCCCCTGTTTTAAAGAGAAAGATTTCTTCGAGGGGTTTCCTCTGACGGTGAGCAACGACGAGGCCGAGACTATCAGACGGCTCGACAAAGAAAGCCGGAGGAAACACCTGGCCGCCAGTATGGTCGGGATGGTGAAGATGGCCGAGATGGCCGTTGTCCTTGCCGAGGAAGGGTCAGACTCCTCGGACCGTGTCAGGGAGTTAGAGTCGGAGAAAGCTTCCCTCGCTTCTAGTTCTCGTAAGTTAAAGGCGGCCCTCGAGCGGTCCGAGGAAATGTTTCGCGAACAAGCCGACCTGCTGGCGGGGGAGAAGGAAAACTCCGGGAAGGTTGCTGAGGAGAGGGATTGCCTCCAACTAGACAAGGAACGCTTGGAGGTTGAAAATGAACGTTTGTATAAGGAAGTCGAGGAGCTAAAAGTTGCTATGCTTCCTGCTGACGATGAGTCGAAGGAGACAGTCCCTTTACGGACCCGTTCGGATTTGATCGCGCGTATCCACCTCCTTGAGACAGACTGTGTCAGCACTTTAGCAGATGGGTTCGAGGCCGCGGTCAGCCAGCTCGCCATACTGAATCCGGGCATGAATACCGAGGGAGTGGGGTTCATATCTCAGATTATTGACGGTCAGGTCGTGCCTCCTCCTGAGTCTCCTGTGGTGGACGTCGGTAGTCCTGGGAATGTTTAGCGTGGAGTTTCTGGTCGGGCCTGCGTGCCCGCTTATTGGTATTTGTTTTGGGGCCTGCGTGCCCGTGCTCATTTTTTGGGCCTGCGTGCCTGTGCTTATTTCTTTTGGCCGTTGTGCCATGGCTTGTAATCCTGAACATCGCCGGCCTTTTTGGTCGGTCCATTTTTAACTCGTCTTGTGTATAAACTTTTCAATGGATGTTCATTTAACTTTAAACTTGCTCGTGTCTAAGTTTTACTTTGTGAGGAAATTTGTCTAAGTTATGTCCTCGAGCTACGCTTGTATTCGACTGTTACTTTGTGACGAAATTTGCCTAAGTTATGTCCTCGATCTAGGCTTGTATTCAACTGTTACTTTGTGACGAAATTTTCCTAAGTTATGTCCTCGAGTGGAGATATCCTTTCAACCCATTTGGTGGTCCGACGTACTTCGAAATGCGTCGGTTGTGCAGAGTGAAGCCCGCATGTCGAGCGTATGACCCAGATCGAGGTCGTATGCCCACGACATGAACTGCCCATCGCGAGCTAGGTGTTCTTCCATGTGGGTACTTTGACAGTGGAGCTCGATTGAGGTGTCCCTGTAGGGCATCGTCATTCATCCTCGTTGGCTGAACGGCGTTATGTCGTTTGGGTGTAG